CTCACAAAGCTCCCAGAGCTGGGCTGGTCCCGCGCCTTCCTCTCTGTCTCTGCGTCGCCGCTGCCGTCTTTCCTGGCCTTTGTTGCCTTGGGCTGCTCGGTCTCCCGACACAGTTGCGGCGCTCTCAGGAATCTTCTTTTGCATCGGCCCTAAAACCTCGAGACTGTAGTTGATTTTTTTCGTTGTAGATTAGTTGATCAGTGATTTATTTGTTTTTTGTTGCTCTTGGAAATGCAAATAGTACTCTGGCAGCACAGCGCACACTTCACAGACTCTCTCTGTCCTCTGGCACGCTCACTCCAGACCCATCGCCATCTTGCTCCTCCAGTGCTGTGAGTGTGTGTTTTAAACAGCTCACAGAACTTAAATCCTAAAATATGTATTTAAATAAAATAAAGGATTTCATCTCCAAATTGATATTTTACATTTGTTTTACATATATGTATCTTTGTTCCTTTCAGCGTTATGGACACTAACATTTTAATGTTGCTGGTCCCTTTCCAGGGTGGACGAGCTTCATTTATACCATATCTGGAGATGTGTACATTGGTAAGTTATGGGTATGTTGCTTTGGGTTCAATTGCAATTTAAACCAGTGAATGGAGAAAAAGTAGAATGAAACCATTGCATGCAATTGGTACTATGCCTCCTTGCCTCCCACACCAGTCCTCTCTACATCTCAGCCCAGGGCAGGGTGTCTCTCACCTTCCAGAATGTTCCAGTGAGTGAGGTGAATATGAACACCAGTCATGACACAGCCATTTCACTGGGGCTTGTGTGCAGCCGAGAGGTCCAGGCACAATTATGTGTGTTGACACCTCACTAAGAGGTTAGCAACCTCTATACTTACAAAGGGATAGAGCTACTATGGGCTCCCAAGGGAGCAGGACTCCATCTGTCTCCTGGGAGGGGGAAGGAAGTGGATTTGCAGTTCCAGGTGCCTCTGAGAAATCCGAGCTGGTTTTCTCCTATTCTGAGGGTTGTATAAGTGTTGCTTGATGAGCCTAGTCAAGAAGGGGTATTTGAGACCCAATCAACTATCATTTTATAGATGAGGAACATGAAATCTAAAGGAAGTTATTGAATTTGCCAGGGTTACTCATTGGTAGACTTGGAAGCAGAACCAGGGATTCCTCAGTGCTGCTCCCCATGTCCCACCACATACTCTATGTCCAGTGACAATGCACGGACCACACCATCTAACTTGTCCTTTCAAGTGTAAATCCCTTCGCTAACCCAGCAGCAGAAGAGACAAGGGACAGAGGGATGGGAGAGAGGGCCTTGCAGAGCAGGCTGGCTCCTGCCTGCACCTACTACCACCCTTCCCATCTCCCTAGAAGCAGCCATGGGTTGCAGGACATGGCTGTCTGTGGAACTGGCAGAAAACAGCTGCAGCAGATGCTGTTAGTGCCCCACCACACCCCTGGGGCCTTACCTGCTCAGTGCCCATTGACCAACTGCCAATTGCCAGTATCTGTGTTGCTTTGCCTGAAAGCTTTCTATGAAACCTGGGAAGGCTGCTCTGCCCCAATCAGGGCAATGTGAAAGTGCTGGAGAATGAACGTTCCAGAAGCTAACTGACCCCTCAGGTGGAATAACTCTAAGGCCTGTGTGAGAGGCCTTTCCCTAGAGTCTCCCCTGGGGTTATACTCAAGCTGCCCACAGTGGAATAGTGCTTGATGACACACCCTTCACTGTCTGCCTTCGCTGTCTATCTAACTCTCGTGACTTCTAGACTGTCGTTTTCTGGGATCACCTCTCAAATAAACTTCTTGCACAAGAATATGCATCTCCAGCTGTGCTTCTAGAAAAACCCGAAGTAAGAGAACCAATCTCGTGTTTCCCCTTCCTCATCCCCACGGACAGTAATGGGTGGTGTAGGAGAGGGTGGGGCATCCCAAGGTGCAGGCCAAGAATCCCCATTACTGAGACCCTCTGGGGTTGGATGCTCTCTACCCTGCTCCTGCAGGGATGCCAGTAGTGAACATTCTGGGCCTTAACATGGCCACCTCCTTGGGCTCTAGCCCAGAGCTAGAAGGCCACAACCAGAACTACTTAAACCATTCTTTACGTTCTCCAAAAGGGTGTTCGATTGCCTTAAATTATTCTTCTGTAAAATAACAGTACTTTAAACTTATTCTTAATAGGGCGAAAATGGGCTCAGTTCCTCTTTCATTGAATAGCATTTCAATTATGGATCGGAGACAATATTCATTTATTTTAGCACGAGAAAGTGAAAAAAATCTAGTCGTAGTATCATAAGTCCATGTGCACACACATTAAACTATGTGAACCATCTGGAATAGCTAAGGCATCATTTGTTTTTATGATCTTCTTAAAATCCTGAGAATCACATAGTACTTTATAAAAATAAAGAGAAAAGACATTTTTAGGGAGGTAGCACCCCTGATTTATGATTTCAAGAGCTACAAAATATAGGAAGCAAATGAATTCTACAATGGTAAGGATACCAGAAATGTTTGTGTAGAATGAGAAAAAGCAAACTTTCTGTGAAGGGCAAGATAGCAAATATTTTCATTTCTGCAGGCCATGCAGTCTCAGTTGTAGCTACTCAGCCCTGTCTGTGTAGCACAAAAGCAGTCACAGGCAGTGCGTAAACAAATGGAGTGGCTGTTTCAGTAAAACTTTCATGGTCACCAAAATGTGAATTTCATGTATTTTTCCATGAAATACTGTTTTTTTCAACCATTTAAAAATTGAAAACTTCTTTTAGCCTGTGGGCTCTACAAAAGCTCACAGTTGATTTTGGTTTAAATGACATTATAGAGGTGGAAGGGGAGAAAAGTTAACAAGTAATCTTCAAAACCTGTTTTAATCAGTAGTTTCAGCCTTATTTCCTGACAGACCTATAGTACAAGAAGTTAATAAGTGAAAAGCTCTGCAATTCTTCGGGTAAGAATGACCTACACATCCAACTTGTTTTTCTCAAGGTGAGGTAGGATTTTCCTGAGTCATTTCTACTCAGTGGCCTTGTCTCCTCTTGTGACCGTGGGCCACAAGTGCAAAGCATCTGGTGGGAGATAGGGTTGTGGTCTGTGGCCTTGGAGTGAAGTTGCAACTGTCCAGAGTAAACTGGACTGTGGAGAGAATCTAGCTCACAAAACTGGTCTCTTGGGACTCTGCTTTAACCAATAAGTGACTGGTCAAATGACTTCATTTGAATTTTTTAAAAAATAATTAATTTATTATTGTTATTATTTTTATATTCTAAGATGTTGTTGCAGAGAAGTTGTGTGGAGGGGGAGAAAGAAAGGGGGAGGAGGATAGGGTGGGAAGACAGGAAAGTGGGGAGGGGGACATGGTTGAGGCCTGTGGCACCCCCCTCATTCTGACAGAGGAGCCCAGGGGGCTTCCGGTGGTAGCTCAGTGGTAGCTGGGCTGGATGTGCATGTCAGGGCTCATTTGAATTTTATCTCCTTCCCTTCCTCCTACCTACTTCCTAATAGGGGTGTTAATGAGAAAAATAAGAGGGCAAGAACATATCACCAGAGAAAAAGAAATGGCAAAACAGAAATAGCTATTGAATATGTACTGTCTTATAAAATCTATAGAGGGCTTCTGTTCAAGATGGTGGAAGATGGTCCACAGCATCACTCTCTCCCACAAATCAACCAATTTACAAATATAAAAAAGGAATGACAGCCAAAATGGGGCCACTAGAGCTCAAGGGAAGAGCAGGAGAGAACTACGGAGTGCATGAAGGTGGGAGAAGCCACAATAAGAGGAAGAAAAAACTGCTCTGACCATTTTGAATCTTGGCCACTTCCAGGCTGGAGCTGCTGAGCACACAGAGCAGGAGCTGAAAAGCTGCAGCTGTACCCTTCGGATGAAGTTGCTTGGAGGTAGCAGGGGAGAAGAAGGTCTTGGTGGCCCCCAGGCCAGCAAGACTACTAATAGGGTTCCTGAGGACCCACCTAGGAGCCAGAAGCCAGAATAACTGAAGAAAAGGAGCAACTCAGAGGCCGATGAGCCATTGCAAAGGACCGCCTCATGGCCCATCCCATGGGAAGTGTTTGGAGCATGGATGGTGGCTGGGGGAAAACTGGGGGACAGCAAGAACACCTGATCTACTCCCCCAACCAGCGTAGGACCACTCAGAGGAGACTGGTCAGGAATATAGAATTGCATGGGGTGCAGTCTGATGAAAAGACTCAGGCCCAGACCAGAGTTTCTCCACAGCCCAGGCACACCAGATTTCACTAGACCTGGAAGTACCTATAAAGTCAACCATTAAGACCTGAGCTGCACAAAAAGCCTTTTGGTGAATCAGCAACAAAGCAGCAACTTAGCTCAAACCCGGAGCTCCAGTGCTAGTCCCCACAGGAAGTTCCCCCATTTTAGAAGTAAGCAAAGGACAACAAATTAGTTGCAGTGCAGAATTTAAGTGGTGGGAACAGCAAATAATCCAACACAGAACTGAAAGAAAAAAAGTACCCACAGCCAGAGAAAGACCAGAAGTCCCCTGGGCTACCAAGCCAGAAAGGGGGGAGGGCTGGGGGCATCAGCCATGCCCCCTGACACATGCAAACAGCCCAGCGATGACCACCAAGCCACCACAGGAAGCACCCTGGGCTTTTCTGTGCCATGGTGCTGGGGGGCCGAGGGCTTCTGTCACACCTCCCCAACATGTGCAACCAGCCCAGCAAAGACCACCAAGCCACTGCAGGAAGGGCCCCTGGCTCTCACGAGCTGGGGCTGTGGGGGGCTGAGGGAGTCAGCCACACCCCCATAGCCAGCCCAGAGATGACCACAGAGCTGCTGCAGGAAGCAAGCGCAAGCAGCCCAGTGATGACCACCGAGCCAAAGCAAGAAGGGCCCTGGGTTCCTGAGCTGGGGTGGTGGGAGGTGAGGACTTTTGCCACATTCCCCTGACATCTGCACCCAGCCCAGCAATGACCAAGCCACCACTGGAAGCCCTGTGATCTCCCCTGTGGGAATGAGGGGGATGCCACAGGCCTCAACCCCACCCTTTCTCCTTCCTCCTTCTTCCATCCCATTTCCTTCCCCTTTCCCCTCTCTCCCTCCCAACTGCTCCACAACAACATTATAGAATGTAAAAACAGGGCCGGCCTGGTGGCGCACTGCTACAGTGCGCCGCTTGGGAGCGCGGCGGCGCTCCCCCGAGGGGTCGGATCCCACATACAGACCACC